TAACATATGAAAAATTATTCATTCATTAAATGGTATAGGCTGACTATTATTCAACCTATAAGCTTACCAACTACCGTTGAAAAAGCAGCCAGCTACACATCAACCAACTGCACATTAGCCATCAATTGCACCATGGATCCAACATCAAGAAGATATTATTGGAATTACAATAAAGCATGTTCAATAAACTTGATATATATCAATATTCATGGGATCCATCTCAAAACTCATTGACAATGAGAGTAGTAATCCAGGTCTATTATAAACCATTGTAAAATTTTATTTTTTTTTTAACGTGGGATCCTTAAAATGCCCCTTCAAGATTGTGGCTCTTTTGGCTCATTGATCTTGGTCGGATCCAATTTTAGGACCGGTTGCTCGCTTGAGCATTTTGTATCAACGTTCATGAGAGTTCCATCTCAAAACCAATTGGCAAGGAGAGAAATAGTCTATGTCTATTATAAACTATTGTAAGATTTCTTTTCTTTTCGATATGAAATTCTTAACAATATTTTCAAACAAGGCATTTGGTCGAGTGGTATGATTTTTGCTTTGGGTGCAAGAGGTTTTGAGTTCGATTCTTGGAATGCCGCCCTTATTTTTTTCTTTTACCAGATTCAAATTTAAACTTTCGAATTTTAGTACATAAGATCATTTTATAAGTCAAGAGAAGAATGTAAGGAAACAACCTAGATAAAAGACTAGGAGTAATAGACATCAAATGATGGAGGACGAATGCTTCACTAAGCAGCCAGCCAGAATCTCACCCGTAAGTTCATCTATATTTTGTCATGCATACTTTATAGTTCGATGATAGAGACAGGCACAAGATAGTTCATAAACCATGCTACCTCATTTCATCAACTATTCAAGAGCAGTTTTACTAAGTCATTGATGTGTATAGTACACAAGACCAGATATACATCTTAATTTGTCTTAATTAAAAATTGAAACCTTAAATTTGATAAAGGCGATAGTAGGACATTTGACCAAGAGGTAAATTCTCAATTTGGTATGGGGGTTCTAAATTCAATTTTTAGAATGAGGCATGTGCTCGTTGACTTTCTATTCATAATTTTCAACCAAAAACTACACATAAGTCGATTGTATCACAGATCCAACATCAAGAAGATATTATCATAGTTACAATATAAATATATTATGTGGTCTTAAAATATTGGAATAGGGCATTTGGTCTAGTGGTATGATTCTCGCTTTGGGTGCGAGAGGTCCCGAGTTCGATTCTCGGAATGCCCCTATTTTTCTTTTACCATCTTCAAATTTAACTATTTAACTATTTAATTATTCATAAGATTATTATATTTTATTGTTCTAGAGAAGAATGTAAGTAAACAACCTAAATAAAAGACTAGGAGTGTATATGTATGGATACAAAATGGTGGAGGATGAATTACCACCTGGAAACTCATATTTCGTGAACTTGTAATTCAAATGAGAGATTTTGATATTGAATTTCAGAGACAAGCACAAGATGATTACACCAAGCCAGGCTACTTTGCTAGGTACACCAAGTCATTGATGTGTATACAACACAAGGATGAGATCTACATCTTAATATGTTTAATTAAAAATTAAAATCTTGCATTTGATAAATGTAAAAACAGGGGATTTGATCTAGTGGCAGATGCTCAATTTGGTGGGGGAGGTTCTGAGTTCAGATGTCCCCGAAGAGACAGGGAGGTTCTGAGTTCAATTCTTAGGATGCCTCATCTGGCATGTCCTATTTACTTTCTATTCATAATTTCCATTTCAACCAGGAACTTCTTTCTTGTATTCTGTTCACAGTATTCTCAACATTTTTTAGGGATGAGTAAAATATGAAAATTTGTTCATGTATTTATACTCCTCAATAATTACTGGTTACAAGATGATGAAATAAACAATATAAACAAATTATAATTCTACCTATAAGCTTACCAACCACCATTGAAAAAGCAGCTCCACCAACTATACATTAGTCAATTGTACCACGGATCCAACATCAAGAAGCTGTGATCTGACTTACAATAAACAAAATATTAATTGAACTCAATATGTTCAAACAGGGCATTTGGTCTAGTGGTATGATTCTCACTTAGGGTGCGAGAGGTCCCGAGTTCAATTCTCGGAATGCCGCATCTAATTTTTATCACTTCCAAATTTAATTAAATTATTTATAAGATCTCTATGTTTTATAGTTCAAGAGAAAAAAGATCGGTGTTTATGTTTATAGATACCAAATGATGGAGGATGAATGCTTGAAAAAGCAGCCCAGCTAGAATCCCACCTGGGTGCTCGTCTATCATGGTACATGCATATTTCTGATGATTTATGAATTATCTTGTACTTGTCTCTATCCTACCTTAATTCCTCAATTAAAAAGCAACTTTGCTAAGTACACAGTCATTAATGTGTATATAACACATTATAGATCAGGCATTAGATCTAGTGGTAGATTCTCCATTTGGTACAGGGGGTTCTGAGTTAAATTCTTAGAATGACTCATGTGGCATGTGCTCATTCACTTTCTATTCATATTTTTCGTTAGGAACAAAAGCTACATATTAGTAAATGGTACCACGAATCCAGCATCAAAATATTATCTGAACTGCGATAAAAAAAATATTAAAGTAATCTAATACAATCACACAGGGCATTTGGTCTAGTGGTATGATTCTCGCTTTGGGTGCAAGAGGTCCCGAGTTCGATTCTCGGAATGCCCCTATGTAATTTTATTTTATCATTTCCAAATTTTAACTTCTGATTTCCAGTCGATTTTCATTGGATCTTTATATTTGAAATTTAAGAGAAGAATGTAAGAAAGCAACCTAAACAAAGGACCAGGGAATGTTTATGTACATACCCAATAATGGAGTATGAGGGATTGAATAAGCAGCCAGCCAGAATCCCACCTGGAAGCTCCTCTACTATGTATGCTTTATATTTCTGATAAGAAAATTTGATAATGAGTTTCATAATTACAAGCACAAGATAATAATAAATCAAGGGAGGTAGCTAAACCTACCTCATCTAATCAACCATTCAAAAGCAACTTTGCTATGTACACTTACTTAGTCATTGATGTGTATACAACTCAAGATTGACCAACCACTAAGGAAAAAGCAGATCCACCAACTACACATCAGTCAATTGAACCACAGATCCACCATCGAGATGATATAACTTAGATTACAAAAAAGAATATGAGCTAGTCTAATGATTGTCACTTTGGGTGTGGGAAGTCATAAGTTCGATTTTAAAAATGCTCCAATTTCTTGGCATCCAATTATTGATACTTTTTATGGTTTAAAAAAAATGTGAGTAGACAACCTCAATACAACTAATAGTATTCGTATTCCACATGCAAGCTCATCTGTCATGCAGATATGTATTTATGATTAACTTCCTTAATGTATTAGTGCTCCAGAGTCCAGACTACTTCAGGGGAGGTGAATCAGAAAGGCACACATTCCTAAAGTGATCAATGGGGGAAAGATCACTTGTAAGTATACCAACATCAATAAGAACTTTTTTTCAGGTAATGGGTGTACTTGATGGTCTTCATGCGTAGTGCATAAACATTCTAACAAAAATACTTATGCAGCAAAAATCCCAGGTTTTGAAATATATACAAAAAATATTTCTGAATTATACCTCAAACCACCATTTTAGGATCCATCTAACATCAAAATTCGCTACCACACACAGGGCAAGCACTAGATAATAATAAATCAGAGGCAGCTATAATCCTACTTATTCCCAAGCAAAAGCAACTCATCCGAGTACACTAGCCATTTGGTCTAATAGTATAATTCTGGCTTTGGGTGAGTATTATTGATTTCTGTAAGATAACATTCGAGCATGAAAGATGGATCTACCAGCTAGAATCCTACCTAGCTCACCCACCATGCATAATTTTATATCTCACGAATCTTCAGAAAAATGTTGCAAAGAAACAAGTAATAGGTAGTAAAATTAAGGTTTCGGCTGATAAGTTTGCCTATCATAGAAAAACAACACTTTTGGGTACGTCGCCCATAGATGCAGCACTAGGAAAGAATCTTCCCTTTGTCAAATGCTAATTAACATTCTAAAATAACAAATTTCTTGAAGTCAGGTTGCGCATTTTATCTACTGGTATGAGTCTGCTTTGAGTCAAGGAGATCTCAAGTTCCATTCTTGAAGTGTCCCTTTTCTAGCTTCAGTACCAACCAGTTATTGGTACTACTTTTATAGTTAAACAGAGTGATTTAACTTACCAAACTAAATAAGCATTCTAAAATATCAAATTTCTTGAAGTCAGGTTGTGCATTTTATCTACTGGTATGAGTCTGCTTTGAGTCAAGGAGATCCCAAGTTCCATTCTTGAAATGTCCCTTTTCTAGCTTCAGTACCACCCAGTTATTGGTACTACTTTTATAGTTAAAGAGAATGATTTAACTTACCAAACTAAATACAAGATTTGGTATATTCATGCATTTATATCAAATCATCACAAGTGAAACGCACAAACTAGCAGCTATATCCGACCAGTAAGCTAGAAGACCACATATAGAGTTTGTATATCACAATATTCTTCAAAATTCAAAGCAAAATGCCCTAATTTTTAATCCCAGAATTTAGATTTTCGAGTTCAAGAAGCATGTCTGTTGATGTACTTATTGAGAGAGAAATAAGAAAGTGGGGGAATTAATAATTTCATTCATTAGTGCTCCATATAAATACATACTATGATGCTAAAAATAAACATAACTATCTCCACATAATTAGCTACTCAACTAACCC